AGTGGGGGGTCGCCAGGCGATACTCCGTGCATACGCACGCACACCGTCCATGCGTATAGAACACCGCGGGCAGTCTCAATTTGACGAGATACGATAATTGCGAAAATTCTTAACCTAATAAATAATTCTCTCTTAAAAAAAAACAGTGCAATCACGTAAAATCCAATAGTCAGTTAAAAATAATTGATTGAAGAGAATTTAGCTTGTGGATTTTGGTCTTGACCATCAAAAACACTTCGATTGGATCTCTGAAACGGGAATGGGAGTATCAGATACATTGAATTACGTTCTGTTTTCTAATCCCGTCAGCTCGAGTGCCGGTTCGTTTTCGAAAACTGCTGCATAAGCTGTAAGTCGCTGTTATTTTTTAATTAAAAATAAGAGGAATCAATTTATTTATTGTTATTGCCTGATTTTTGGAGACTAGGTAATGCTTCTATAGTTTATTCTATTTTTATAAAAATTTACAACATTAATATCAAATAAACTGGTATTTTCAATTTTTAGTTGGACTCCAGCAATAAAATGTGTGCATCCTCTGGAATTAGTGTCTAGAGCAATAATCATTACATAATATTTAACATTTAATACTTATTATTAATATTACAATTCATGAATGACTTTTGTTTCATTAATAATAATTTATTTATAAGCACGGATTTTCTGGGTGAAATGAATAATATTCACTTGCGTTTGGAAGTTTGAATTACCCGCTAAAGTTTGACTTCCGGATTTGACTCTGATGAGGGTTCTAGGGACTACTAGGGAATCCCCTAGGGGCTAGGAACATCTGGAGTGAGGAGGAATAAACCTTTTCAACATTTATTTCTTTGGAGACGGTAGGGTTCTTCAATAAAATCCAAAAATATTCGTGTCATCGTGGATTAATTGAGAGGAAAATTGTTAAAATATTGTGGAAAAATTATTCGCAAAGGGTTTGGGGTGAATATTTGTGGAAAATTGTGGGGTTTGTGTGGATTTTCAAGAGTTTCAGTTCATGGTGACACGGGTATCACGGATAAATATCGTGAGGGGATGTATTTTTTTTTATTAGGAAATTGGAATTTTGTTGCAGGTTCTCCAAGTAAGTTGTCAGGATGGCGATCCGCCCGGTTTACAGGCCCAATATTGTCAAGAAGAGGACCAAGAAGTTTATCAGACATCAGAGCGATCGTTATGACAAACTCAAGGTGCGTTTTAACCTATAATTACTACTGACAACAACCGCATTGTTTTCCTTACCTAAACACTGACAGATTTTAATTATTTATTAACAAAATCATCCCAACGTAAAACTCCCTTGTTCCAATGTTTGTAAACCCCTCGCAATTCACTAGTTACCAAATTAAATGCAACCATTTGTCTCTTTAAACAGTAATTATTGCACTTAACCATTGAATTTGTTTCTGGGTTCAATGTTATAAAAAAATTCACAAGAATATTTTTATTGCTGAGTTTTATTTTTAAATGGGGGAAATGAAGGGTGTTTTTTATTTTAGTATCTGTCATGATATATTGATTGAGATATTGAGATCAGGTTATGAGGGATTAGGAAATTGAGGAAATTGGTTGTTTTAAGAGGAGAACGTGATTTTTTATGGGAAATTTCAGAGGAACTGGCGTAAACCCAAGGGTATTGACAACAGAGTCCGTAGGCGTTTCAAGGGACAGTACTTGATGCCCAACATCGGTTATGGAAGCAATAAAAAGACTAGACACATGCTCCCCACAGGATTCCGCAAGGTCCTCGTGCACAACGTCAAGGTATAGTAAACTGATTTATTCATAATTGTCTAAAATTCACTGGCGATTGCAAAATAAAGAATATGTAATAATAAGTTTTTAGAGCTGATGATAATTTCCTTTTGATTCACATGATCATTGATATCACTGATTTTCCAGGAACTCGAAGTCCTCATGATGCAGAATCGCAAGTTCTGCGCTGAAATTGCCCACGCAGTGAGCAGTAAAAAACGCAAGGCAATAGTAGAACGTGCCCAACAGCTGTCGATCAGAGTGACGAACGCTAATGCACGTCTGCGATCTGAGGAGAACGAATAAGCTCCTGACATTTGTACCATACATCTAATAAAACATGAAAAACCTAATCATGCCAAGTCTCATTAATTTCACCTCTCACATTCACTCAATTTCATTTACCGATGTAAAATAATGCAAATTTAATCTCTCATTCGTATTAATTATCAATTCATCACGAAAACTGGAATTCATTATTCAAAGTAATTATTTGAACGAATTGATAATTTATTTACGTTAATGAGGGATAAAGAAAGGTCTTTGTAAGAAATTTGTTTCTGCAGTAAAAGATCTTTTATCGTTTTGCCCCTAATCCACGTGACACGAATTTTTTACCACTTCAAAGAATAAAAAAAGCCAACTAATCCTCGACTACTCTTTTTTACAACTCGACCCATTTTTCGGGGCATTCCCATGATTTATGAAGGTGCAAACGGCGTCTAAGTAATTCCCAGGGAATATAAGAACCCCGAGAAATTCGCTGCAGCTCGATAAAGCCCTGGGCTAATCAGTAGAATCCGTTCGCGTGTGTTTTCACTGATTTTATCACAGCGAAATAGCCAGGACGGCTATTTCCACTGGAGGCGACGTAAGTCGCATGCAGAAACTCCTTGGCGATGGGCGAATAATTGTGCTTTCGGTGGAGGAATATAAAGGAACTCCTCATTGACTTGTTTCTTAATTATTCTTTTGCCGGGGTGCGGGGATCAACTGCAGGATGAAGCATGTGGACGGCTTCTCCACTTTTTGCCCCTCTACGTGGCTCGCGTGTCAAGCGTTGGCTGACCCAAGGGGGATGGAGATTATCGACCCCTGGCTTGACCGTCTTAGAACCCCCTGGGGTAACACACTTGGAATCCTCCTGGAAACCTATGCGACGTACTTTACATATTCCTCTTGTCTATCGTCCCATTCCCCTGGGCTATCCCTAATTAAATTCATGTATTCCTGTGTCAATTCCACTTGCTCAAGTTATTTCAAAACAATCAGCTCAATATTTCCAGCAACAATTAATTATTATAAATTAATAAATAACTACTCACAGACTGAATTGCTTAATTGTTATCAAAATCCAATTGTAATTCGTAATTTATCAGCTCACGTATTGATTTTACGAGAAAATATCAAAAGACCTTTTTTGTCGGAAATTTAATCGCCTAGAAAAAAGTCATTTGCCGTTTTTCTCTTACAGCGATATTTTTCGGGGTAAAGCGATAATTAAGAACAGTCAGTTTTGTGGTATTTTATTTCAGTGGTTTGTTACGAATTTAGACCGACAAAGCCATTCTCTTTAATTGACCGATTTTTTCTTTCATTGAGGTGATTTTAGATCATTTCGGAGGTCAAGCATTATTTTTGCGTAGAGAACAACAAAAATTTCTGTCCCCAATAGTCGAATCAACGAACCGTGTCTCGTGACGACAATAGGAACAATTGTTACCCTAAATCATTACCATTTCCCATCACGCCACGCAAGTCCTGTAATTAGAAGTCCATGAACATTATTTAAGGTTTTAACTATTAAAAATGATATGAGTGACCTCGACGAGTATTAATGCGACGTTAGAAACTCGTGCGATTAACGCTCTTGAGTAGATCAAAGCTGATAATTCAATAAAACATTTAATTGATAAATGAAAAAAACATTTAATGATTAATCGATTTATTTCCGCGCACTCGGAGGCCGCAATAACATCTGCGATTATCTTCTGGAGATTGTTAGGTCAGACAAGGGGGCAGTTAATTTTCTCGAGGGCACGTGTCAAGATGTAGAGCAGCAGAGCCCCTAGACTAGAAAATAGATTTTTCCATCAGATTCCCTCGTCCCACCCAGCAAAAGACCAGGAATTTTCCTGAAAAAACTTTTCCATCGAGGAAAGCATCGACCCAAGTGGAAGTGCCTTCTCCATTTCTACGGGAAATTAACTTCAACTTTTACTTTATAATTCTGAAAGACGTAATTCATTTATGGTTCACGTGAATTATTTGGGTATTAGTCTTGATGAGTTTTCAGGGGATAATTTCAGTGTTTGTCAGACGGATGAACTCTTGAATTAATTGGAAATGTCAGATCTTAAATAGAAATTGTAAGGGATGATTGGAAAGGTCGGGTGGCACATGTTAAAATTTTAATGTGACTGATGATCTGTCTGTTGGGCATCGATTAATGAGAGAGGGAGAGACCCCTTTTTTTTTCGTTCCCCACCTTTTTCCGTCGACTCTAGGAGTTAAACACCTGGTCAACCTGCACCTGGACGATACTTTTGCCGTGTACTAAACTATTCCCCTGTTTTCTCTGGTAAATTCAGTCAGTACTTCGGTGGAAGTCGAAACGGAAGGATCACCTGTGCTTTTTCTGATTGTCAACGTGTGTTCCCAAGGGTAGGCTTGATAAACAATCAGTGGATTCGTGCATTATCGTGCATTTTCTGTTATCGATTTCTTTTTTTTTTTGAGGAAATAAGTCATTCGGAGGGGTTCGTATTTTAGGGGATTTTTTTCTGGCTCTATTATTTTTTAGACCAGAATTTTAACAGTTGTAGGATGAAACAGAACTTGGAGTTTTGGATTTAATACCCTGGGATTTTTGCTTGAGATTGTTGTCTCTAGATTTCGGTGAGTAATTACTGAAGAATTTATTTATTACTATTTTCACAGTTTTATTCAATTTAATTCCGGTAAATGCAGCGGCGGTATGACAAATCGCGATAATTCAAACGTAACGTTTTTCGTAATCCACGATTTATCTCAGGAACTATCGACTCAAGACGAAAATGGTAAAGGACTTTTTTGTAGTTGATCAAATTTATGATAATAAAGGTCTCTTGACGTCTCGTCTGAAACTCAATAGTTTTCAGGGAAATCGATGTTGAAGGGACTTTTGAAATTGGATTCATCTGATTTTATCACTTTGTTACTGAGTTGGCGCTGAATTGTTCTATTTCCTTCGCAATTTTTTCACCACACTATTTACACATGCCGGTGATTTCCCGACGTTGGTAGATCCTCTTCATGCACTACATACTTGAATAAAATAAAATATCGAGTAAACGTAATTTTCGGAGGGAAATTCACTTTCGCAGTTGTTCTTATTAGTTCGTCCCAGATATTCTGGCGCTGGCAATGAGTAAATAAATTAAATAAAACGCACGTATGTAATAATTCCACAGTCAAGGCTCTTACCTTGCACTTAAATACTGCGCGCAACCAGTGAATTATTCAGAGAAATAGAGTTATTGGGAACTAGACCACACACATGGATTATGTGCGTGGGTTTTTCAAACAAGTCAAGAAAAAATCAATCTTAGTGTATAAGCACGAGTATAAGATAATGCAGTTGATTGGTGCTGTCAGCAAAAGTTGAATAAAGCTATTGCAAAAGTTTATTTATTTGTCCGCGTTGCACAAATATCCGTCATAATTCCATTTATTTTGTTATCAAACAACAAAAGTAGACAATAAATCGCATAAACTACTTCCCAATTGTTTACCATTTCCAGTTAAACTCTCATTGTCATGTTATAATTCCCTACAATAGCTCTCTTTTCGCAGAAAAAAAAAATATTCCACTTGTCTCTAATTGCGCAATTAAACTCTTTAGAATGAATTAATAAAATATAAAAATTCACTTTCTGGAATTGATTTTAGGGAATTTATTTTATACAGAAATTACTTGAAAATCATTTGAAACAATTTGTTTTGTGTTTATGATTATTACTGGATTGGATTAACGAGCAAGTACTTTGATTTTTTTTTTCACGCAACTCATGGTTCAGTGGCCGCACATTGGTGCACTCAGGTGTGGTCTTTGTTGTATTTTACCTGAGTAGGAAATGCCCGGAACTGGACATCTCGCATGAGCAAATTCTACACGATCCGAAACAAGAAAAATTCCATTCGCTTCCAACATCCCCTCTTCGCCAATTTGCTTTTGTTTCCCCTGACTATTACCTCCTGACGCAATCGAAATTATCTCGAAAATCGATCAAAGGATCATTCAAAAATTATTTGCTATTATTTTTTATTTCCATTATCTAAATTTGTATTGAAATTCCGCAATCCACAATTTCCATGAATTTCCCGGAAGTTCTCGCAATTTTCGTTGATTATCGATTATAATTGAATAATAAAAATGTAAATGCTCAGGGATAATTATGGTAATTAGGGCAATTAATGTGATTGTGTCAAGTAAAATAAAGAAATTGAGAAAATTGATGAAAAAACTTGAGAATCCTTGACGTTGACATTGGCAGTTTAATTTGGCGAATAGTACAGTGTAAAGACCAGAATGTCTGCCTCTAGATCCGATTACACCTAGTTCTCCAAACTGCCCCGATGAAATATGAATAATCGACCTTGCGGAATGACCCGTTAAGCGTTAATATCGACATTACCATTAAATCGAGGGAAGAAATGTGTACAAGGGATGAACAAAAGACGTAATCGATACGGCACCTGTTACATTGTCTCTGAACTGTTGCTATTTCTTTTCAGGAGAGCCATAAGCCGTTAATTTATTCATCGACATGTATTACCAAGCGATTGCGCTCAATTTAGTGCTAATAAGTAAGTTGCATTATTCAGGGGATAGAGGGTGAGAATAGATACCAATTTTCTTTATATTATCAGGTGTATCGATCCAAGTGATCGCCTGCGAGGGCTGCAACAAGGAGGATCACCAGAAATGTGTCGCCCTGGCTGATCCTCTCCTCAAAGATGCGCATCTTATCTTTCCTGATAACATGAGGGACATCGATATGGTCTGCAGGTACTGCGCAATTGAATTTTTTCTCCTTCTTGTGTCAATGAACTTTTAGATGTAATTGCATTTTCCTGTTGCGATTTCCATCGATCGCGGAATTCATGTGACTTTTTTTTTTATTTTCTCAATGCAAAGGGGAGGACAAACCTCTTACGTACACGCAACGTGTAATTTTTTAACTATTTTTAATAAATAGGACATGGTCGAGCTTTGTCGACTGCATCAAGCGATATATCGACAGGTGTTTCACGAAACAACGGAGGGAACAGTTTAATCAGGCGGTTGAGTCCCCGATTGCGTCGGTTCATCAGATGTGCTCTGTCACTTCTTATCAGACTGGTAATTTTTCCATAAGTCTTTTCCATTTTCTCAAGAAATTCTCTTCCATGTACTGCAACTCAGTAAATCGTCAGTAATGAGTAATTATTTAACAGATTGTGTATAGAATTCGCGCAATTAAAACATGTATCGATAGAAAGTTCTTTGGAAACTCTTTAGAAGTTCGAGAGTTTTTGTAGAATTTCTTGAGGGGAGTACCAGGTATTTCCGTTGAATTTTTTCAGTTGATGAACTGGTTTGTTTGCATTCCAGAGTACCTTCAGTACGCAAGTTGTTTAAAAGCAACAGTCACCGAGGCACAACATTGCGGCAATCAGTACACAGCCCTCGTGGATGAGGTATCTCAAGGGGAAATGGCCCGAAGAAGCCTCTGCTGGTCAGTCCAATTTTATTACCCCTGGAGAAGAGATACGGTTGCTCCTCCAGGAAGTTACTCCTGAAATAACTGAAATAACTATTCTCATTTATTTATCCTCGTTTTATCTCGGCAACTATCCATCCGAAAACGAAATACCTGAGGACTTTTCTTTAGATATTGAAATTTCCGATAAAAAAGTTCCTCATACATTTCCCCGTAAAATCAATAGTTATCGAGATAAATTCATATTTAACAAGAATCTCAAATTGTAGTGGTCTCGTTGCACTAGTTGTTGACTTTTTGAGATTACATCAGCAAATTTATGGTTTATGGGGGTTTTAGTGCTCACCACCACTTCCGGGCTTGTGTCATTACTGAGACGAGGAAGAGGTGTGATGGGGGTCAACCTGGAGGCGCAGCTTCGAGGTTTTCTGGACAAATTCTCGACCGGGCCTTGAGCTTTTTGCAGGAACAATGTCAGGCTTACATGTAAGGGATTTTCTACATTATTGAATTCATTAACTAATTAAATGAATTAATGAATAAATGAATGAATTAATTAATTAATTAATTAATTCAATCGGTTAAACCAATTAATCCTGTCGTATCTAATGAATATCGATTATTGAATTGGCAATTGTTTATCGGTTTTGATTAATTTTTTAAATTTCCCCTGAAGACCAAATGGTAGTGACTGTCCAGAACCGGTGACAGACAGTTCTTTGGCTCTTGCTGTGAGTCCCTTGGACGAAGAATCAGGAAATCGCGGTATCAGCCGACGTCCTTATCAGCGAACTCTGTCACCCGATAACTACGCAGGACAGGCCAGCACTTTCCATGGCGCAAGTACAAATACTATTAACAGTGCGTCATCGTTCAGGAGCACTGGCAGATCCCTAAATGTTCTTCCAAGTAAGGATGAACTGGGGGACAGGCGACACGTACGAAATCTCATGGAAAAATCTCGCGTTTTCTCCGAGAAATTCTATTAATTTCTATTGAAACTCGAAAAAAATTTATTATAATTGCATTTGTCAAATAGAAAGATTATTATCTGTCATAGAAAATAATACTTATTTATTTATTTATTGAGTAATGATTTTTTTAATAATTATAATAAATACTGATAAAATATGAAAGGAAATTTCAGGTTTAAGGCCCGGGTGGACTACCTATAGAACGTCATCTTTTGTTTAAATTTTATCTTTCTAGCCTAAAATACATAAAAATTTGGGATAAGTTTTGAGGTCACGAAAATCACTGGATTTGGCATGAAAAAATAATGAAAAAAAAGAGGAAAAAATTTTGAAGGGCGCTAAAG